GAACCATTTGCTTGCTTCTAGAAACCTCCCCCTGCAAATTTTTGGTTAAAATAAAAATTCTTTGTATTTCTCTCCAGTAAGACAGCTGTTTAGTGTAACAAAAATCTTAATAATTACAATAACTAAATATACTTCTGCTTTTCAAAGATAAAATGAGAACAAATATAACTTACAATTCCTGCTGATTTTCTGGAAAACTTCAACACAAATTAACCTCTCCTATATTTGCAAATTGCTTTATGATAGAATAAAGATCAATGTATTTATGTTACAGAGGCTGCCCTTTGAAGAAAGCAAGAATTACGAAGGAAAGGAAGGTAGCAGTCATGAAAACACAGTCATTTGGAGTAAGAATTTACCGCAAAAGCTAAAACTGTATGGAAATCCAAGATACAAGCTCTATTTCAGAAATTACAGAGAACAAAAGACATTTCTTATTTTTCATTGCATTGTACTCAGGCCACCTTTTGTGGGTTTTTTTTTTTCTACAAACATTATTGAGCATAATGATACATCCTTGAAACCAGATGGCATACGAACTATTTCAACAAAGGCAGAAACAAGGGCAAGAAAATATTTGTGGTCTTTCCAGAAATCTTTCACAACCTTCACATTTAATGGCAATTACTAGGAAAGCAGCAAGTTTGCAATTGTGGCTCAGGCATATAATTACCCATATTTGACCTATTTATAAACTTCTCTGAGCTAAAAAGAATACCTGATAGCTGCCCCTACTCTTTCTGATTCTCAACATATAAAGTAAAAATAGCGGGATAGTATTACAGGCATTCAATTGTCTTACTAGCTTTGTATGAGGGAGCCACAGCTGGAGTCCCTCAAGTGCTGCCTACTATGCACATCATACGTCATTACATCTAAATAGCATAACAGACCTGGAGAACATTGTGAAACGGAAAAGGGCACAGAACAAAGATATTTTCAGGACTTCCGAGTTGAGATGGCATAAAGTAGTGGGACTGGAGATAGGAAAATTAAGTAAATGTACATATTTTGAAGGCATTGTCAAAAACCTTCACAGCCCATATACATCCTTCCCACAGCCTTGATAAAGCAGGGTCAGTATTATTCTACCAGGGCACCTCCCATGCATAGGTCAGAAGGCAAGAGCCTCACACAGGAGACTGCACTTATTGGTGGTTTCCCTTTCTTTGGTTTCAGTTACCTGTAGTCAACCATGGCATGATGGAAAATTATAGAAATCAACAATTCATAAGTTCCAAATGACAGGCATTCTGAAAAAGATAGTGAAACCTTGCAATTGCCCATCTGGAACATGAGTCATTCCTTTGTCCAGTGTATTCACCCTGTATGTACTGCCAGCCTGTTGGTCACTTTGCAGCCATCTCGGCAGACTGACTAGATGTTCAAGGAACCCTAAATAAGGGCCTCAAAACACCAGGAGTATTGATGCTGGCAATTCGGATAAACCAAAGAGTAGCCATAAAAAGCCTCTTTCAAGTGAAAAGGTGAAAGTTATTGATTGACTGAGTGAAGAACAATAATTGTATGCTGAGGTTACTGAGATGCGTGGTACGAATGGTTCTCCTACCTGTGAAGTCATTCAGAAGGAAAAGGAAATGCACACTGTTGTGCTGCCACACTTCAAACTAGAACACTTATGGCCACAGTACATAAGGGCTTAGTTAAGAGAAAAAAAAAGAGTTAATGTTGTGTATGCATATAAAAATCATTTATATAGGGTTTAGTAATATCTGCATTTCAGTCACCCACTGACAGTCTTGGGATATAAGCCCTGTGGGTAAGGGGGAACTACTGTTCAAAAGGTCTTCAAAAAGCTTATGGAAAATGTATATTCCAAAAAAACAAACTAGGATGGATACTGTGTGCCTCAGACACGCACATCCCTCATCTGCACGCTTGGTTTGAGTCCCAAGTAGTCTGTGCTTCCAAACCAGATTCCTATTAATGGACCTGGAAGGCAGTAGAGGATGGCACAAATACTTGGGTTCCTGGTTCCTGGCTTCAGCCTGGCCTATCCCCAGCTATTATGTGCATTTAGGGAGTAAGCCAGCAGATGGGAGATGGCTCAACCCATCCATCTATCATTCAGTCAATCTCCTCTTCCTCATTCTGCCTTTCAAATAAATAAATACACCTTTAAAAAAATTTGAAAAACTATGTATGGACTACAAATTTTTCTGCGCCAAAATAAATTTATATTTTAACTCTATTTCCTACAAATTATCTGAGGTACCCTTATATACTCCAACAGCAAAGTCTGGGGTTTTGGTCACAAGTAATTTATATTCTTTTTGAATGATCAAGCTGATAGGTGTGCTAAGATTTATGTGAGGGGTTGGTGTTGTGGCATAGCAGGTAAAGCTGTTGCCTGCAACACCGTAATCCCATATGGGAGCCAGTTCATTTCCTGGCTGCTCCACTTTGATCCAGCTCCGTGCTGATGGCTTGGGCAAAAGCAGCAGAAGACAGTCCAAGTGCTTCGTTCCCTTGTCATCCATGTGGGAGACCATGAAGAAGCTACAGGATCCTGGCTATTGTAGCCATCTGAGGAGGGAACCAGTAAATGGAAGATCTCTCTCTCTCTCCCTCCCTCTTTCCTTCTAACTCTTTCAAATAAATAATCTTTAAAAAAAAATCATGTGATTTATCCAGTCAACTTGTTTCATGAAAATCTATGCATTTTATCAAATTAAAAATATACATTATTAAAATTAAATGAAAAATGTCTAGTTCATTCCTTATCATATATGGAAAGGGTTTAAAAATTAAAACTACATTGACTCCAGTGTTATCCACAAGGTTTATATAATCATAACGTTAGTCAAGTAAGGCAACAGTCATTCTTAAGTCTGCTGAGAAAATGAACCCTCCCTCTGCTTTGAGACATGTAATAGAAACCAACTAAAATAAACCTCCCTGTTACTAATGTCCTCTCCATTAGGTGATGCATTAGTCTGAATGAAAAGCTTACACATTTACAGAAAAAACAAATCAATGGTAAAAAATTGGCAGCCTAATGTTTACCAGTCTGCAGAGACAGAAATAAATTCTCCAGTAGTACAAGTTGAGATAGAAAATGAAATTCAATAAATATGAATTAGAGCATCATTAACTGAGAATAATCATCTTAAAATGTCCACATACTAGAAACAGTCTTATTCAAAAGCCCAGGTCAGGGGTCTTGCATAGAAATTAGTAACCGCAAAATGGCTCATGGTGCTGCGATGTGACGGGGATACAGGGCACTGAAGAAGTGGGAATTACACTGCACATGGCTCCCCTGGCTTTCAGCTACAATCTCCCTCACACTTCCTGAGCTCCCAGCCGCAATCCCCAGGATGATGTCATCAGTCCCTAGCTTTCCCTCCTCAGATGTAAACCACCCCCCCCCCCCCCCGTCCCCAACAGCTCTCTTCTTCCCCTTCTAGTTCTTCCCCCCCGAGGTCCCTTTTCTAATCCCTTCCACTACCTGTGGGATTCCTTAACTGTTTCCAGCCAAATTCTCAGCTTCCTCAAACTTTCCCATTGGCAGCGCTTCGTCTTACTGAACTCTGGCTTTCCCTGACGGTGTAGCTAACCTCATCACGATCTTCCCTGAGCTCTCACTTTCCCAAAGCCACACGCGGAGCAACAGCTCTGCCATCAGCACTCAGAGTCTGCTTCTCTTTTGAAGTCTATGTGCTCCACCTATAATCACCCTCTTCCCCACTTGTCACCAACAACCTTGGTCATTTCCTCACTTTTTCCAATTGCTTCACTATTTAGCATTTGGTTTTCTGCCATCACCTTTGGCCACCATCCATATTCATGTTTCTTGTAATGTCTTGACTTTCTGGATTCTTCACTGCTTTCTATAGTCCTGTGACCTGAACTTCCACTTGAACTATCCACTCCAACAGCTATATCTTACATTCTGTTATCACTTAGAAGGCGTTTTCCTGAAGATTTTGAACTTTCAGAATCCTTTCTTTGGTCAAACTACTGCTCTCTTTCCACACTTCCTTATCTCACACTCCCTTTTGTCATTTTCATTTTGGGTGTAACTTCCATTTTCTTGATCCCTTCCATTTTCATGGGTCCTTTCTATTTTCTCTTAAGCCTTGATCTGGCTTAATCTACTTACTTTTCTAACCCTACACAGTGCTTGGAAGATGATTTCAGTACTTCTCAAGGATCATCAAATTAAATATGAGGGTACTTCAAGAATTTCTGGAAAACGGGTAAGTTGATTTGGGTGCATAGATTTTTAAAAATCTATGTACCGTTTTTTCACAATATGCATGTACATGACCATTCGAAGACCCCTCATGTTACAGTATCCTCAGTGTGCCAGTATGTACTGCGTGCCCTGTGTGAACCTTCTGAATGCTGAGTGCAGCTGAAAAAGTCACAGAGCCATGCTCACTGAGTTTTCCTTCTCAAATTGCAAATGGGTTCTCACTGTTGTTAGGAAATATATTTATGTCTTGATAGCCCTCATTTTTCCTCATAATTCTTCCCGGTATTTTTTCCTCTTTGTAATCCCATGGTTATCATAACTGTGCTTCCTCACTCGGGAGATGCCTTCATTGCACACTTTCCTGACAATACTGTCATGTCACGAGAGCCGGAATCTCAATCTTTCTTTCACCACATCTTCCCTCCTTTACCACTGATGCTCAAAGAGAAATTTTCATCTTACATTCTGTGGAAGGCCTTGTATGGATTATGCATGAAATGGTGGTCTTTAAACTATTTGGCTTCTTTGGGGTTTTAAAATTTTCAATTAGCTTATTCACATCACTTCTATCCCAACATGTATGACTGAAGGAATGGGAGTCATGTGTAGGGTAGGGCTGGCATGGTTACAAGAAAGGGTGTGTGGAGAGGCCAAGTCATCTTGGAATACAGCACATTCTCTAGGATAGGCGCTAACAATCCAGACGGAATCCTGGTTTCCAAGTCATTGCTTTCTGGGAGAAGAGAGGAGTTCCAAGAGGGGAGATGAGAGCGCTTGGAATCAGATTTCTGCTTCCAACTGTACCAGGCAGTGAGCTTGGCTACCTGTTATTTAGCAGGAAGCATCTACAGAGAATAAAATGCACTGAGGTCCAATGGAGGAGCGGGAATGGAAAAGTTGGAAAATGGGTGAGAGTTAATAAGAAAACACAGTCTGCTCAGAATCCCACCAAAGAGCCCCTGGTAACATCTTGATTATTATTTCCTTCTAGTACGCAATACATATTTTAGTTAGTGAATTATTTATAATTTACTTTTCATAAAATTAATAGTAAGCTGCATATATTTTTATCTAATATTTTCAGTTAAAACTACATTTTTAATATTCTGACGTCAAATTCGTAGCTACCTCTGAGCATATGTTTCATATGTGGCTCCTCTTATCTCTGAGCTTAGCTGTCTCCCTCTAAAAATAAAAAGTCCCTGTCCTCTATGGAAACTATTTTTTCAACTCATTTTGTAATTACCAAAGGCACTGTTACACACATTTAGCAAGATGAGGTGGAAATGTTGAGGAAAAACTGCATCATCATATAATATGTCATGTAAAACGTCTATTGTTTGAGATGGGCATAGGGTATTATGGATGGCTGAGCACCACAGAAATGTAGATATGGTGTCTACAAGTATTTCTAAGTATATTCTAGATACCAAACAAGATGCGTAACCATAAAAATAAGGACTCAGCCTTCTTCTGGGACTGAAATGAAACATTACATTCACCAAGACACTAGCATAGCAACGCATTATTATCCTAATGCCTAAGAATTTGACACAGTGTCAGAGTCAACATTCCCATAAAAATCATGAGGAAGAATACATCAAATATGTTATTCCTTAGTTACAAGTTTCATACTTCAGGAAGTTCCTTGATTAGACTTTCCATTTCAGGGAGGGGCTTCTTTTTCAAAGTGATCCAACACCAACACTGTTCATGCAAAGTCATCATCACATTGTGTTCATGAAGAATCCATATCTGCATAGCCAAGCACAGCTGCAAGCCAGCCCAGGTGTGCCCCCCCACCCCACCCCGACCCCCTACAGCTCAGGCCCCCTGTAGAGCAGCCATGGTGTCTCTCACAGTCCTTCTCCACCACACTGTGATCACCAAGTTCCTCCAGCCTGGCCTCTCCCAGACGCATCCCTGCCTGACTCCTGCCTCTGCCCTACAGCCCCACAGGGCAACTCCTGCTCCCACCGACATGAGCCTTTGGAGCCAGATTTGTGTCATGTCTCACATCACAGAAGAACAGGCTTAGAGGGGCTGGATGCTCTGGGGTGGACAGCCAACATCCCACGTGTCATGGTCCCTTCCCTAAGTTCCTTAGTTATCATCTACCGATGTGTCTGCTGATTGCTTGTGTGTGTAATTTTATAATGAATTGAAAAAAACACTTTCTGTCCTGTTTTTTAACCCCTTATTTTGAAGGCCCCTCTAATTCCATAATTTGTATTTTCCCTGTTACTGAATTGCTTTCTATTTAACTATACTTAGCAGATGCTGAACATCATTTAACTAGTAATGGAAGCTGATACATATGGAACTCTGCAGAATTAATAAAACACAAAACAATGGTTTATCTCCCAAACTTTGACAGACAAGGCATATGGGTTACACTGAATCTCATTTAAGAATTGACCATTCTTCTACAAGTTTGTGTAATGTTAAAAGATGTGTAGGATTTTATGCACATGTGTATGTTTATGTTCTAGAGACGTTAGATTACAGATTATTCTTGTTTCTTTCATCTTTGTGTTCTCTGCATCCATCATGACCCAACAGTTTCCAGATGCTCAATTATCAGGGAAGAAACGAAAAATGTACTAGCTCTTAAATATGTTTCTGTACATTTTCCTTATCATTGTTTCATGATTATGTCTCTCTGACACTTTGTAACTTATTCTGTCCCAAATTGTTTTTTACTTTTGCTTTGTCTTTTATGATTTTTGTTTTCCTTTGCTTTAAAAAACAAACAAACAAACAAATCTCTGAGGTAAGGTCAACACAACAACAGAATCTAGGAAACTGCTTGTTTTCTAATGACACCCAGTAACATGATGGGATCTTGAACCCAACCTAGTAGAGGTTAAAGAATGGAAAAATGTTCAGCTTTCTAAGTTATGCTGCCCAAGCCACACATTGGCATTGGCATTGCAGTCCAACATAAACAGGACAGGAAGGGAGTAGCACAGAAGCTCTTAGCCTTTCATCACACGTCTGACATCTGATGGGGGTGTTAACACGTCAAGTACACATACCTTGCAACTGCAGTTTGTACTGTGGCCAACTGACACTGCAAATATGTACTAAACAGTTAAATGTCTCCTTAGCCCTTCCAAATGTCTCATTTTCTCTATGATACTAATTTTGCAAAAGACTTCTGTATTTGAAAAGCAGAGTCACAGAGAGAGAGAGAGAGAGACAGAGAGAGAGAGACAGCTGGGGGTGGGGGGGGGGAGAGAGAGAGATCCTCCATCCTCTGGTTCATTCCCCAAATGGCTGGGTTAGAGCCAGGAGCCATTCATCCTGGCCTCCCACACGGCTAACAGGGGCCCAAGTACTTGGACCATCTTCCACTGCTTTCCCAGAGCATTAGTGACAAACTGGATTGGAAGCAGCGTAGCCCAGACTCAATCTGGCACTCTCACAATGGATGCTGGTGTTGGGAGGGATGGCTTAACTCATTGTGTCACAATGCCAGCCCCTCTATAATGTTTAAAGCAAGATGTTAATCATGTGAGGACATCGGAGAAATGAGGAAGAAGTTGGAAGTGTTCCCAAATTAAGTAACTCAGAATTACACTAGAAAAATTTATCCATCCCTTAGGATTCCTATTCTTTATGTTCATCCAGTTTACAAGATAAATGGTCAGCTGGAAAAGACTGATACAATGGGAAAACTCTAGAATGCGTGAGGTTTGAAGACAGAAGCCCTGTGGTCTATCTAGGTAAAAAGTAAAGAACAAACGGGGCAGAGATCTTTGTCTTGCCTCTTTCATTCAAAAATATTTTTGAACATCCATTTGTCTAGTCTTATTATAACAAGGTCCTTCCATTTTAGGGCCTATGGAAAAGCAAAGAGAAAAGAAAGTAAAAGGTCCCACTCTCTGGAAGCTTAGGTCATAATACTGGGGGAAAGCAATACCCAGACCAAAAGCCAGCAAGTAACTATCAGAAATCAGGACATGGATATAGTCATGAAGGAGGGTGACTTATTGGAGGATGGCTAGAGGACTGCTTTAAATTGGGTGGTATGGGTTGGTGGTAACATTAAGTTGAGATTTGAAGAACAAGAAGTCATTAGAATGAGAACATTCCAAGGAGCAGAACAGTCTGAGCCAGGGAACAACTTGTACTTAAATTTGTGTCTAGGAGTGTAGGAGAACCAGTATGTAACTTCCAAATATAGAAAATCGAACATAGTTAAAGCACCAATGAAAACAGTAGCACAGGCTGCTATTTCCCTCTCTTCTCTCTCATTCCTACATATGCAAGACAATGATGCTTCCCTAATTCTAGGGAATTAAGGCTTGTTTTCATGAAGATGTGGCTTTATTTTTTGTCAGCCTACCACTGGACTGGGGTGTCACCCAAATCCCCAGTGTCCTGGTAAGAATAAATTGAGGACATGCCCCTCCCTTGAGACAAGATCCACTGGAACAACTGGTATCTAAGGGTGGACATGAAACAAAGCAGACACAGTAGTAAAATCTGTTCTGGTGGAAATGCTAACTCTATTTGAAATCATTTCATCCTTTTAAAATAGGAAATAATTATTTTTTAGAGAAGGGAAGGAGAAAGTACTAAAATAAGAGTTATTGATCTAGCATGGAAAAACTGTAAAGTCATTTCATTATTATCTTCCCAGTTAAAAAGCATGGACTTCCATGGTAAAGCATATATTTGGCACTGGAGTGACAAATAAGCCTATTTTTATCTGCTGATCTGCCCTGCTCCTGAGTTTAAGGACTTGCCCATCGCTTCATCCTTCAGCAATCTCCCGTGTGGTTTCCCATTTTGCTTCTTCTACAGGTATGTTCTACCTCCTCCCACGAGACAAAGGGAAAATATATTAAAAAGGAAATAATAAAAAGAGCTTGAAAACAGTACATTGTTGTTTATATATTTGATTTAATTAAGGAGGTGAGCTGAGGGGAAAAATAGGAGCATGCTTTTCTAAACACTTTGCAATTCACCTAATAAATTTAGCATTCATCAGTTTTCTTACATGGCTTATTCCTAGGGATTCCATCATATGCATGACTTGGAGGACTGTATGTGTGTGTGTGTGTGTGTGTGTGCATATGTGTTACAGGAGTAAAGAGAATCTGAAATTTCTATACTGACCCCTACATTTGTCTTGAATCTTCAGGCATCATTTGTATGGAAAAGGCAGCAACAGATTTATTTGGTGCACTTATAAGAAGGAAAAGACAACAAATTGTTAAGTTTGGTTTATGTTTATTCTCTTGTTTTCTTCTAATAAAAAAAAGATTTAAGCACCATGTTGTTTCTTTTGTTCTGTTATAGATGGTGCATGTCAGCCACTGAGTCACAGAAATAACAATATTTTTTCTTGGGTAGCAGTTAAGTGGACTTCATGGTTCCCTGACAAGTGGCAAGGCATCCCACAAATCCACAGTGCAGGGCACCTGGAGCTTATCAAATGGCCTACATTTAAGTACACTCAGTTTAAACCTGAGGGACACTGAGGGATACAGAACTTGAGGTTGATCTATCCATGATCCTGGGCCAGGAAACTCGGCCTCATGACAGGCAAGACAGACTCAGCTGGGTATATGGGTTGGTGGCAAGTCTACTGGAAAGGAAAGGATTTTTGTTGAATATGGGTTGGACTCCGAAGAAAGTGTTCATGACATTTCTATCTTTTGCTTTAATCGTGGATATTTTTTTCTCTTTGGATGATTGGTGTTGGAATTGAGACAGAAAAAAATGTAGAATATTTTTTTAAAAAAATGATTTTTCCCCAAGAACTGAAATTTTAAAAAAGCCCATTTCAGATTAATTCATGGTTGGAATAAATGTTTTAATTCCTAATATTTGTCTTATGCCAAATGTTTCCTATTAGTCTGATTACAAATCAGGAAGATGCATGAAATGCCACAGAACCCCAAATATGTCTCTCCTTCTACGAGAGGAAAAAAATCATAGGCTGACAAGTAAAGATTAGAGCAAGGCATAGTTTTCCATTGCCAATCTTAGAGGCTAATAAAATGCCATTTTCCCCCTATTGTATGAAAAGAAATAAAGACATGTATAATGATTTTACTTGGCAGCTACCTGTAGTCATTAATTATCAATAATTTAGATGCCATTCTAAATTATTTACAGATGCCACTCAATAACATTTCTCGATCAATGGATAGAACTTTCGAAACAACCAACAAATCAACAGCATTGGTTACATCAAGTGGGTGGGTTGGAAGAGGGGAAGCAAAGAGTACAGACTCTTTCTTTGATGGTATCTGCATTGTTTGAATTGTCCCATTTATTTTGTAATGAAAATGAAGTCCAATGAAGTGTGGTATGTTATAAAAATTAAAAATTAACATATCATCCCATATAATTTTCTACCAAGTTAAATGGCAGGTAAGTGTACAATATTAAAATCATGAAGTAATGCTCTAAGAATATATTTAAACACATGAAGATTTGAGAAAAAATACAGTAGTAAATGCTCGTACAAGGAAAGGCTATTTCTAAGCTAACAGATTCAGTGTTCAGCTGTTTTGCCTTTCCCTAAATTTCTTCATGATAGGGGAGAACCCCTTCCTTCGAACTTCAAACACTGCCATTCATTTTTCCTACCTCTTATCTTGTATTGAGAATCTGAGTCACAAGAAAACCATGAGGTCACTCTTCAAACCTGTGCTTAAGCTATGCACCTCTTCACCACCACCAAGTTGTTTTGTCTGCCTGTGTAGACACGCTTCCCCACCCCCACCAGACACAGCAACATCACTGTAAAGCAGAGCTCAAAGCTGGAGAGCTGTTGAAACTCCGGAGATAAGAAGGGCTGTAAATGCCTGTTAACAGCTCCTCATGTTTACTCTCCTGTGATTTATACTCAATTTATGATGGCCATTATAGTAGATACACTTCACTTAATCAAGAGGAAAGTCAAGTCCTGGCCATTAAACCCATTGCCTCCCTTGCTTTCCCAGGAGAGCGGATTCCTTGTTTCATTAAAAGGATTGCAAATACATATTCAAAATGCAAACATGAAAGAAGTCAGCAGCAGCAATTAATTTTATGGGCTGGTTGCTACCAGAGTATAAATCTCTTTTAAGGCCACCATTTTTTTTTTAAACGCATTTTACCTGTTCAATCGATGGAGCTGGAGCACGGGTATTGAGTGTTCACCAGACCTTGCACACTACTCTAGAAACTAGTAGCCCCACTGACTCAATCAAAAGCCAGAGACAAAATGAGACAGTAATAGATTTTTGAAATGGCAACAACAAGACTGTTCAGAAGTCTGTTTCTATAAGACTGTATATTGTTTTGTGAAGGTATTCTTTTGGATGGTTTTAATTTGCTTATTCTAATAATGTTCATGCCATTCCCTTAGTAAACAAGAGTGACGTACACATGGAAGAATTTATTCTAATAAAATATCTTATATAATCTCACATTACTAACAAGCGAGCTGTTCATAAACTGAAGACAGCAGGCTGTTCAGGATGAGGGCAGCAAAGAATAAATGACTTCTATCCTAAAGAAACCCTTCCTGCCCCAAATAAAAGACACCAGATATCAAATAAAAGACACCAGAAATAGATGGGGCTTCCCTAGATTCCAGAAAATTCATTCTCATGGAAACATGACCTGGTAGAAGCTCTATACATTTTATATGACTCTTATGTTTCCACTGACTTGCGTCAGGTCAGTAGTTCAAGGTCTGTTATGCTAGAACCTTTTGGGTTAATTTATTTCTGCCTCTCTGTGACACTGTAATGGCTCCATTCATAACAGAACTCTGCTGCGTGGTGCCAAGGGAAACAGCTCAGGCAAGGTTTATCATCCTAGGAAAATAATGGAAATCAAGTATGAAGGTGGTACTCAGGGAAATATGCCATTCCATGGAATTCCAAAGCCAAGTGGGTTGTGCCACGAAGGGCCCTCTTCTCACCCTCTTGGCCAGCATCAGCACTGCATTTCTATCCTCAGCTTCTAGACTTGCCCTGCTTATCCCTGAGTGAGTGTGCAGACCTCCCCACTGACGGTTACCCTGAAAACAGTTGGAAATGTTTTACAATCAAAGCAGGCAGCCCCCTTTTCCGTCCCCTCTGGGGAGTGGCTACCTCTGGCTATCATGTTCGAAGGTCACACCGCTCACAGCTATTTTCATAGCCATAACCAGTTACAGTTTTCAGCGAACAACAGATTTAACCAAACTTTCTACTCATCTTCTGCATGTTGGGGTGTCTTTTCTATTTTTGAAGGACCCAAGAGACCACAGGTTTGCACGAGTCAGGGACAATCTGTCTGCAGAAGAGGTGACATGCCCCATCCCTGAGTCCAGGCAAATCATTTTTTCTAACCAGAGAGGAAATCCAGCAGGGGTATGGAAAGTGCTAGAAAACCATGCAGAAGTACTCACAGTTTGGGCTTGGCAAGCAGAGGTGGTGGCTCCTTAGTGGGTGAACGCAGGACAGCTGGCGTTGGAAGAGATTTATGACTGTTAGCTGTGCCATTCATCAGTCCGTTTACTCCATGGCCGGGATGGACACCGTTAGTTTCCCTCTCCGCAGAACTGAATTGCATTTGAAGGGCTGCCATGCTAAGTCCCAAGTCTGGGCTGTTCACCTGCTGGATCTCAGATGGTTTCTTCGAAGCCAACTCAAAGGAATTTGTCTCCAACAGTGGAGGGGGAGGTGGAAAGTGTTGGAAATGGTCGTTGTTGGATTCACCCGTTGAGTCATAGCTACAGTTTTCAGAGTTGGCTAAAGAAGGGGAAGGGGAGGGAAAAACAATGAGATGCTCCTGCTAGTTCAACCGGTGATTCTTGCACTTTCATTCATCTCTGGACAAACCCTCCTGCACTGCTGCACTGCTCCGTTGTTAGAGGTGAGGTGGCTGTGCTGTCCTCATTTGGAGCAGCGCACTGGCAGCTGGAGAACCTGGCTCTTCCAAGTTTGTTCTGAGTGACAGCTACCTGTTCCATTGCCTAACTGAGCTCCCATGTGGAAAAATCACCTACCAAGCCATTAACACATTCCAGATAGGAGCTAAAGCTAGGACTTGGAAAAACAAAATCACAACACAATCACTCTGAGTTAGAACCTTGTCCTTTCACATTTCAGCCCCACAGGTCTGACTGAAGACCCTATCTGTCTCTACTAACACTGGCTTAAGCTGCAAAACTTTTATGTGAATATTCTTTCTATTTTAAAGCCAAAAAAGGCCACCAATCTCTGAGTCCAAGTGAAATGTCTCATAATGTCCTGGAATGTTTTCCCATGTCAGATGATGGTCCCAACTATAGCTCAGTTTAAGACTTTATTGTTGTTGTTTTTGGTTTGTTTGGGTGGGATGGAGGGATGGATGGATGGCGAGCCTCTGGCAGCCAGAGTGGGCTGGGAGTACCGTGTAACAGACACACACACACTCATGTTGATGGTGAGAAGTGGGGACCGCACATGGTGCAAGCTACCCTCTAGAGGAGTGAGCCAGGTGGGGCCAAGGTTGAGGGGAGTGGGGGCACCCCCTACAGTGCCCCAGGCCTTGGATGCAGGCAGATGAGCCCCGCCCCACAATGTAAGAGATTTTTATTTGTAACCCTCAATGGACTGAAAGCATCTTGAGATTATATCTTTTTGGGAATCTTCACCTTTCCCAGCAGCCAAGAGAGCTCCCGGTCTGCACTCAAAAATGTGCACTGACGTAAATGGAACACTCAAAAATACTTGCTGATTACGTTTGGCCATCACACATGGACCCCAGATGAAGATGGGGACTATTACACACCAATTTTTGCCACTCAGACGTAAGGAGGCTAGGATTTGGGCCACATTGTTGGTGCACTGCACTACTGCTACAGCCATTCAGTGGGACAGTCCCCCAGTCAACTCAACATACTTGGATCCTTCCTGCTCTGTAATGCCAGTGATGACCATGGGGTTCCCTTTTCACACTTTAAGTTCTCATTTATATCAGCCACTTCCCCACAAAGATGGACCTTAATCTTTCTTTTTAATTAAGACGCAAGCATCTACAGTGGCCACGCTAACATCCCTAAGCAGTTTTAGTTGTGCCTCTGCTGCCACCTAGCACCAACTTCTTGATCTAAGGAATCTAAGTGCAATTCAATTGTTCTCTCCAAATCTATCTCTTGCAGCCAACAATCTATTTGTCGACTCCCCACTATGTATCTAACCACGTGCCAGGCTTGGCTGAAGAGATATTTTTAAAATGTCGGTAAGATGATTATTAGAGTTGAGGCCATTAAAGTAAGCTAAAGTAAACCCACTGGTAATAGCAAAAACTAGTAAACTAAAACTTATAAAAACTAAAGAAGCTGCTTCATATCACTCTAACTAGTGGCAAGTTTAGTTTAGAAAATATTCATGCATGTTTGAGTATCTATTTTAATAATACAACATTCTGCTGTGTTTTCCATATCACAGTTATATAAGGGGCCTTGAAAACGTTCATGGAAAATTTGTATTATGAAAAAACTATGTATGGATTTCAAAAATTTTTGCACCAAAATAAATGTGCCTTTTAATTCCATTTTCCAAGAACTTTTAAAAGTACCCTCAAATACTGTCATTCATAGATCCATCCATGAAATGTAACCCTTACAGCTTCTCTGAAGTACAGCAGGCTTATCTTGTATTAGCTTTCCAGAGATTTCAATAGCAGACTGAACAGGGATTTCTTTGTCCAGGTATCTCCTGATCTCAGGGGTTGGCCCTGCTGAGAACCGCGACTGCACCTCTGATTTGGAAGTGGCCTTTGGATGCGAATCTGTTTCTAGGTTATCATGAAGATGTTTAGAAACCAGCTCCATTGTTTCCAAGACTAAGACTGCAGGAGTTTAACAAGAGCCCCATGGGTGCTCCCTCCCCTCGCCACAGGATCATTACCTCTTTGTCTGTCACCTCCATTCTCACTCCCTCCTGCCCCCTCCCCCAAGGCCTTTTGTTTCTCCATGAACCTCTGATTGTTAGAGCTACTCCTTGAGCGGTGGCGCATTCCTAAAGGCTGAGCCTCCTTCCTGGGACAGCTCCTCTCTGCTGTGGCCAACCGCAATAGGGCCTGGGAACAGAACCCACTCATTTCTGACTCTCCACATACCGGAGGTGACAACCAGCTGGGCAGTGCTGGTTACGGAGCCGTAATCATTTCTTGCAGAGCATGTAAAGATGCCTGCATCTTCAGGAAAAGTCTCAGCGATTACCAGGGTGCAGATCTCCTCTGGAGGGGAAGACAGCAGAGTGAGTCGTCAGAACGAAGCCACAGACACTCTTTGTACAACAAGCACATTAGGGAATGATTACTACAGAACTACTTCACAAAAGCGGTCACAATGAAACTGTTTACATTTGATGCAGCAGTTTTAGGGATAATAATGCTTTTTTTGGTTAAAATAAAAACCTATATAAAAATTTTTATTTGAAGAAAGAAGGGAGATAAAGGGAGAGAGAAAAAAACAGAATGAATTCCTGTTCCCTGGTTCACTTCACTAAATAGCCACGATGCCCAGGGTTGGGATAAGCCTGGACTTGGCTACAGCTGGGAGTAGGGAACTCAATCCAGATCTCCCATGTGGGAGACAGGAACCCAGTGACTTGAGCGATCACATGCTGTGTCCCAGGGTCAGCAACAGCAGGAAGCTAGACTCAGCTGTCTGAGCTGGGATTGAACCCTGGTACTCCAACATCGGGTGCCTGTATCTTAGCCTCAGTGATTTTAGAGAGAAGTGTTAAAAACAAAAGAAAAAAAAGAGAAATATTAGTTTTCTCATCTACAAAAGGAGATATATATTCCTAGTGGGGGGTACCCATGAAGACAAAATGATGTGTCTGCAAGTGTATAACTGCACTTCACATGTGGAAGATGCTCCCGTCGAGTTTAATCGATTTTATGTGGAAGTTCTTCCTATGCAATCTAGCTGCCTCTCACTTCTGCTCAACTGAATGCAGATTTCCTGAAATGCTGACAATGGGGAAAAAAGAACATGATCTGCAAATATCTGATCTGCAGATAATTACTCCAGATGATACGTGGTGTGGTAGTGGTGCATAGCATGAAAAGCCCAGGTTCAAAGCAACTGTCTGGGCTGGAATAAGGGTCCCACCACATCTTGGCTTTGTGACTTTGGTCAATCTCCCCAACTTCTTACCTGTAAAATGGAGATAACAACAGAGCCTTCCTTACAGGCTTGCATTATTTATGACATGTAAAATTAACCACCATGAGGGATGAGGATGATGAAGATGACAATAGCTAAAAGCCCTTACTATAACTTGGTACCATCATCACACTTAACATAGATTAATATGATTTAATTGTTATGTCAGCCTTACAAGTTAGGTAGTTATTATTACATTTTTATTTATTTATTTTTCTACTTTATTTGAACAGCAGTGAGAAAGAGAAAGAGAGACAAAGAGAGACAAAGAGAGATCTTCACCTATTGGTTCACTCCCCAAATGACCCCAAGAGCTAGAGCTGGGCCAGGACCAAGCCAGGAGCCTGGAACTCCATCCAGGTCTCCCATGTGCATGGCAGGGCTCCAAGTACTTGAACCACTATTTTTTGCCTCCCAGAGGCATTAGCAGGAAGTTGGATTGGAAGCAGGGGAGCCAGGACTAGAACCAGGCATTCCAATATAGGACAGTCTCATTCCAAGTGGCATCTTTTTTTGTTTTTTAAAGATTCATTTATTTTATTGAAAGAACTACACACAGAGAGAGAAGGAGAAGCAGAGAGAAAGAGAGAGGTCTTCCATCTGCTGGTTCACTCCCCAATTGGCTGCAACGGCCGGAGCTGCGCCGATCCGAAGCCAAGAGCCAGGAGCTCCTTCTGGGTCTCCCATGTGGGTGCAGGGGCCCAAGGACTTGGCCCATCCTCTATTGCTTTCCCAGGCCATAGCAGAGAGCTGGATTGGAAGTGGAGCAGCTGGGACTTGATTGGTGCCCATATTGGATGCCGGCACTGCAGGCAGTGGCTTTACCCATTATGCCACAGCACGGGCCCCCCAAGTGGCATATCAACTGCTTTGACAAATGTCTTCCCTGGTGATTATTATTATTAATGCATTTAATTGACTGGACACTGAAGCACAATAAGCCTGATTGATTATCCCAAGTTCACCTAGCTGGTAAGTGGTAAAATCAGGATTCAAACCAAGCTGGGCTCCAGACTTGACACTCCTAAAAACCACCTATTCTTATGACGTGACATATTGTGCTTAGGACAGTGCATAAGTGTAGTAAATGCTTTGTGGACAGGAGATGTTAGTATTAAAAGGAAGCTCTATCTATAGTATATCAGCTGTTTTTAGATTGAATAATTATCTTCATTGTAGCATAAAATCATATATCTGGATAGAGTAAGACTCTATATTACAGATTTTTCTGTAAAATGTGGTTGCAATTATGATGTCTTTGAATCCATGCCCTTTGTAATGTGGCTACGCAGCTCCTTTCATTAAGTGACACAGCCCTTGAAACTTGACTGCCCACGCAAGTTGCTAGAATATGGTAGAAGTGATGTTATGGCCAATTCCAAGCCAAAAGCCTCAAGGATAATTGCCATTTCTGCTCAGTCTCTTGGAACCCAGGTCGATCTGCAGATGGACAAGGCTGTGCTAGCCTGCTGGGGGAGGAGACCACATGGAGCAGGCAGACACCATTCCCAAAGAGACCATCCTAGCCTCACTAACTCATTCCAGGCCAATCTGCAGGCTGACCACAGCCATCCTGAGGGAGTCCAGCCGAGACCAGCTGAGCCCAGTGCAGACTACAAGAACTGCCCCACTGAGGCCAAGCCAAACGGCTGACCCATACAATTATGAACTAAACAAATGGTTGCCGCTTTAAGTCACTAATTTTGGCAGTGCTATACTGTGTACCATGTTAACAGACATAGTTTGGTAAGATAACATTCTTCTCTTCCAAACTCCTTCACTGACCTCCTGCCAAGAGCAAACTGGCAGGATCACAGAGCACCGCTGCTGCCCTCAAGCTGACTGTCAGCGCTGAAAATCGCACGTCTACTGCGAAATGATTTGTGCTTCCAATACCAGAGGGAAATAAGGACTGGGCAAAAGGGCTACCCTGGAATAAAAACATTTTTGTCTATTAAAAGATAGCTTTAAATGTTTAGATTTAAAAAAATGAAAATATAAATAAAGTGAAAAATTGCTCTTCATAATCAGATACCCCTTAATAATCTGATTCTAGAAATATAAAGTCTATTGCATGATTCTAGAAAAAAATGGGTGTACCTATTTCAATTTTTTTGACAGATAGAGCTAGACAGTGAGAGAGAGAGAGAGAGAGAGAGACAGAGACAGAGAAAGGTCTTCCTTCTGTTGGTTCACCCCCCAAATGGCCGCCATGGCTGGAGCTACTCGGATTCAAGGCCAGGAGCCAGGTGCTTCCTCTTGGTCTCCCACGCAGGTACAGGGCCCAAGCACTTGGGCCATCCTCCACTGCCCTCCCGGGCCACAGCAGAGAGCTGCAGAGAGCTGGACTGCAAGAGGAGCAACCTAAACTAGAACCTGGTGCCCATATGGGATGCCGGCGCCGCAGGTGGAGGATTAACCAAGTGAGCCACGTTGCTGGGCCCCCCTATTTCAAAATGTATCCAAATATTATCAAGCTACATAGCTTTTGATGTATCTTTACTGGGTCATATCTGTCTATTTTTATAGGGTCAAGGAATATGCCCTATGTGCATCACTGCATTTTTCTCCATTTCTCACTTCATCCTTGGGCTTTATCCCACACCTAACTAAGCCTTACCCCACCCCCTGATCATGCTGATGATAATCTGCTCAGCAGACTGTTAAAGGTAAAAAGCTAAGAATTCTCTTCTTTTGAAATATCAAGTTCCTTCATGAAAGACTTTAATGGTCAAAAGCTTTCGAGAAGTTAGCTCAGTGATGTAGGTCAAGGAAACTGTTTTCTAAGAGATATTAACACAGATTTCAAGTTGCAGGAGTTATGAAAACACAGACCTCATTCTTTCAGGGTATTATTCAACAGGATGTGAAAAACAGTTCACTGTAGGACAGAAAATGGATAAGAGAGTTTAATAAAGATAAATTGAAAGAACTGAAATTATTTAGTTAAAAATAAAGAATGACAGAAGGATAAACACTTAAAGACTCCACTTAAGAAGTATCTGCATAACCAAACACTTAGATGCAGAAAGAACAGTTGTTGCCAGGGTTGGAAGGCGAGATAATGGGGAATTTCTGATAAGTGGACATTCTGCTTTATCATGCAACATGAAAAAGTCCTATAGATCTGCCATATAACACTGTGTGTACTTACAGTAATATAGTGTAATGATTTAAGAAGGTAGAGTCTAGGTTATATGCCTCTTAGCATAATAAAGAAAAAAGGGCAATTCAATACATATTAAATATTCTTCCATTCAAATGCTAATTTAGGTAAAAACATTGCTATAAGTAACACAAATGTAAAGAAATTAATATGCAACAAGTTGCTCAAATAGTCTCCCATCTTTCTAGAAGAACAGAAGGAATAACTTTACGGTCAGTAAGTGCAGCAGGCGAGAAGGAAGGGTCAGTGAATGGAAGGACTTGTTACTGAACGGCTGTAAGATGTAAAGATTTTTGAAGTCAAGTCTGGAATTTCCTTCCAGAACAGCTTATAAAAACCTTTGGATTTCATCAATCTACTTCTTGATTATTTCCAAGAATACACTGTCTTAATGTTCTGTAGCTGCAGATATGAAGATAAAAATCCCTAGATGCTGCCCTCAAGTTGTTTGTAATCTCGTTTAGGGGTGAGACAGATGCTCTCACAAGATTTAAATCCTCAGGTCTACTCCAGCTCCAAAAGTGAACACTCTCAGTGTTCACATGCAAGGAGGATTTTTCTTTAGGCCTCCTTTATTCTAAATTGTGCTGTCCTGAAAAGGTAGGTAGGTCAATTGCCACCGAAAACGTTCATCAGAAAGTACTAGCTTGCCAAAAGTTCATGAAATGCAAAATGGAAGTAGCAAATACGATCCAGATTCCAGGATGGCTGTATAGGGAAAAGGGGTGCTGCTGGTGACCAGGGGAGGAGAGCCGAGAAGGGCATTCCCCGGGGAGAGTTGGCGAGCCGTCCGTCCGCAATGGGAATTCTACAGAAGGAAGAGGGACGCTGTGCAGCAGCGTGGGAGGTGTGGAGGCACAGCAGCGAGTGCAGACGCCACACACAACCGCTGCAGCC